CCCCCCCCCCCCCCACCCCTCCTGAGATTTAGTGTGCTTGTTTCTCCTAAGCTACACCAAACCCCCTCCTTTGCTACCTTTTGGGGGAAATTTCAAAATTTCCCACGAGCCTTTCCATCTAATTTCTAAGAGGTTCTCATCTCTGGAGTCTGGGCTCAAATCTCACCCCTCCTCAAACCATTCAAATGAACTCAAATCAGTTTCTTGGCAGATTTTAGATATTTTTCAGTTTGCAGTACGTCTAAAATTAAAACTGGTTAATAGCTGAGGTTGAAAAGATAAACATGACGATAAAAATTATGAACTTAGACTAGATCCAATGTACTAAGTAAACTAAATATCTTCTCTCTGTCTTCTCTTTGTCACAATTTTAGATATCGGACTTTTAAAAAAATACGAACAAAAATTGTTCGAAGATGGACAGCTAAGAATACGGAAAAGAGCAACCTAAATCGTTTAGTTGAGGTTTTCTATAGCACCGAAGCTTAGTGAATCATGAATCATCAACAATAAGATATGCTTATTAATAATATTTTTCTAGAAATATTTATACTTCTTTGTAGTTTTTACTTACTTCGTTGAAATAGTGGTTTGTTTCGCAACAACTGGCTGTTCATCTTCGCTGGCAGAAGATTCGCTGTCCGAGCTTCCAGCGGCGAAAAATTTAGACTCTGCCATATTTTGTAAAGAACAAGATGGCGGCCCACGTGTCTCCGGTAATAGAGCCCACACAACAACAGATCAGCGGAGAATACAATAGTGCCAGGCTCCACTCTATTCCTGAGATCCGGGGATGTTTTGTGGAGGCTTACATGAAGCACTACCCTTCTCACACGTGGAAAACTTTAATATACAGAAAATCATCAAAACATATGTTTGCTAGAAATCATGGGAAAGAAAACCAAAGTTGGAAAGCAAAGAAAGGATAAATTTTACCATCTTGCAAAGGAGACAGGTATGTATTTGACGTTTGTGAATTGTAGGTTTACGACAGTTTTGAAGAAACACGTTGAAATCGTTCTTTTAACTTCTGATCTTCTTGGTCGCGATCACCTCGAATACAGTTTTTTTAATTTTGCAGCCTAGTTCCTTTTTCTCTGTTTTCTGTAACAGTGTTATTAAACCATTGATGCTATTACTTTCTATAAACGCTGTTTTTAGGTTACCGCTCTCGTTCAGCTTTCAAACTGATCCAGTTGAACAGAAAATTTGGCTTCTTGCAGTCGTCACGATGCCTCATAGACCTCTGCGCGGCTCCCGGAGGCTGGTAATAATTTTGAAAACAGAAAGAAGTGATTTGTTGCCAAATATTTCATAACTGATAATTGTGTCTATTTTTTCACTCATGGGTTACTGTAGTTTGGTAGAATGTAAGTTGTTTAGCCCTTAATACTGTAGGTACAAGTCAATTGGCCCCTAGCTGGTTAGCCCCCTACCAGAAGAGGATCGGATTATCCCCCATGTACGCTTAAAGAACGAGAATTAGACAGTGCTTTTGACTTCTGGTTGGGGGCTAAACAGTTAGCAGCTACCAGTAATTGACTTAGGGGCTTAATGACCAAATACCTTTTGATAGGAAATTGAGATTCTAAATCAGCTGACAACTGATGACCTAATCAAGTTTGATCATGTGTTCTTATGGCACCTGTCGGGTCAGTCAACACTTTTGGCCCAATTGTTCATTGACATATCGGCAGATACTTGATCAACATGTCTACCAGCACTTGGCCGATTTGTCAATAGTCACTCGGTCAAGTGTCGGCTACGACTATCAATTGACACTTGGTATGCTGGTTGGCAATTGGCCGACAGCTTGTCCACTGGGTGACAATCATCTGTCAGCGGCATCATGGTTAACTGTCATACTGTTGTTAACTATGAGCCAATATAACGGTAGTTTTCAAAAATTAGCTCTAGAGGAAGTTGCTGCGAGTCTTCCTTATTGATCTCTATGGATTGCTGCACCAGCATCAACATGTACCTGAAATAATGTCATGAAATACAATGTCAGTCTTCCAGGTTGCTCTTTAGGTAGCTGTGACCAGGATGTACTCGCTAGCCCAACAGTTATTTTGATTACCCCCTTCTCCCGCCCCCTCTCCCCGCTACCAAAAAATAAATAAAGAAATAAAGAAGCCTAAGTTGTGTATTTCACTGTGATAAAAGATAACGGGCATTTGAGAACACGAGGGAAATGTAGAAAACATGAGCCACAGACGAGTGTTTTTTACATTTCTCAAGTGTTCTCAAATGTCCGGAGTGTTTTATCACAGTGGAATACACAGCTTAGGCTTCTTCATTTGCTTTATGATATTGAGGTAGAGTGGCGAAAAGCAATAAAACACACTTTTTCTATGTTTTTAACTCTGATAAAACATGGGTTTTTGACAATTCAGAGGGCACGCAGGGTCCTATCTATATTGTAAAAGTGTATAATAACTTAATCTGTTACAGTACTTCTAGAATTTTCTCAAATTTGACCTAAAAATATTTTCCTTCTCATGAACAAGTGAAGGATGAGATCCGCAAGCCTGACTATGAAATTGATTTGCTCAGGGCTATTAGATATGACTTCTTTTGCACCCTGAATGTACGTGTAGAGAATACTTCCTGATTTTATTGTTTACGTAACTATATTCTTGTTGTTTGTGCTGTCAATTGATTAAGGCTTCAAGTCGCATCAAAGTTTATGCCAATCTCAAGTATAATTGTTGGTGAGTAACTGGTGGTATGATATTCATTATTAGTATAAATCTACTCTAGTGTTCTATCACAAATGCCATTCTCTGATTGGCTACGCTATTCACTATCTATTCTGTGATAGATAGTGAGTAGTGTAGCAGCGTGCCCTTGATAACAATATGACGGCTGCTTCTTGGTGTTTTTGAAGTGTCTGTGAAGAGGATTTAGATAAAGGTTTGAACAACTAGTAGATTTATACTAAAACAATTAGATTATTCGCTCTCGATTTCTATACGTGATAGTTGACGAGGGTGTAGCCCGAGTCAACTATCACACATAGAAATCTCAAGCTTATAATCTTATTGTTTCATATATTTTTTCAAATATCCTTTAAATGTTTCACTTCTTGTTCTGATTGTGACTGTTTTATTCCAGGTGTTGACTTGGTTTCTATTAAGCCCATTCATAACGTTATAACAATGCAGGAGGATATAACCACAGACAGGTGCAGACAGGTAAACGTTTTAAAGGAAATTAGGAGCATATAATACCTTGGTTTCATGGGTGACACTAGGGACCTTAAGCAAAGAGGACGGTGATACCGAAGACCACGCCTCATCAAAAATGAATGTATATTTTACCAGCGAAATTTGCAAGGTTCAAGATCTGTTCAGTGCACCAATGGCTCTAAAAATGTGTTCAGGCTAAATATGCAATGAGAGCATTCAATTTTAAAATAATGAAAATACAAAAAATTAGCTGTTGTCTTTTGCGTTCCTCAGGCTATGCAAAACTTGGTCATTTCACGTTGTTTTACAGAGAATGGCAAAGAAATGTACAAGTACAAAGATCTGTACCGCACATGCACAGCCATTGTTCTGCTCATTAAAACCTTTTGTTTGGTGACATTTTCATTGCCATGGTTGTCATGATTTGCTTCAACTTCCTACCAAAAAGCATAATACTCAATTTTACAGGCAATCCATTAGACCATGTACTCAGTACCATGTGTTGACCATACCTATATACATGTGCCCCTCCCATGGAAGGTTTATTGGTTTACCCCCCTTTTAGTCTTATACATTGTCTAGTGAACCCCTGGCCCTTCATTTGGTAGGTATAGTCATTTCCTGGTATTCCTGCACAATATCACTGCTTGGTCTTTCTGTGTAGATGTTGCTGCGCTCAATCTGTGCTGTCAAGAACAAGGACAACTTTTCTCTCAGTCTAAGAAAGTCCACTACGCTGTTCCATATTTGTTAATTAACTTGTATATCAGACTACCGGTAGTGGATAGAGCAGTTTTCATTTGAGTGTTGTAAAGTATGTGGTTTTGCATCAATTATGCTACATGATTGGCTAAAAAACTCATGACACTTTTTCATCTAATCAGAAGTAAAACCAAAACCAATCATAACTTGTTTGCATATGTCTTCCCGCACTCTGCGTCAGCTATGTGTAATTACTTCAAGTTTTGATTCGTACACCGTATTGTCTGTGAACTGGCTATTGTGACGTCTGCAGCGACTGGCAAATTCCAAAACGAGACAATACAAAACGAGCTCTAGGTGTGTCGCGACAAACTAGTGGGTTGGACTACTTTACAGGTCGTCTTCAAGGGTGGACAAGTAAACCACGGAAAACCAAAGTTGANCAGTGTTATACAAATAATAGACTTTGCAATATGTGCTGATTTCTTTTTTACTTCCTGGTTAATTCATTGTTCAGCTGATAAGCAAAGAGCTCCATACATGGAAAGCGGACTGTGTTTTGAATGACGGAGCTCCAAATGTTGGCTCAGCTTGGATACAAGATGCTTTTACCCAAGGTAATCATGCTTTCATCCAAGTCAAGTGTAACATTGCAAGATTTGATGATTTAATACATTATGGCAGCTTAATAAATAGTTGTGGCTTACACAAAGTGTTTTTTTGTTTCCTTTATTAGCTCAACTTACCCTTAGTGCTCTGAAGTTAGCTTGTGATTTTTTACAAGAAGGTGGATGGTTTATAACCAAGGTATATGTACAGATGTACAGTTGTTAAGTGGTAGGGACGTTTTTGGTATAAGGTCTTTGATGTAGACAATTTCTGAACGTACAAAATTGTCTGCCCTGAATGCCACCACATTAATCCCATGCAACTTGTTTGCTTGTACTAATCTTTTCTATTTTTTTTGTTGTAATTCTTTAATGGGTCGAGTCCGGGTTTCATTTAAGGTATTTAACACCCCTAAATTTTGTCAAAAATGTGGCCATATCAGGTCAGTAGCTTGACAAGACTTGTGATTGGCTTATTGTGAATTTGGATTCAGCACGGTGGCCTCGTGGTTAGTGTGCTCGACTCTGGGTTGAGTGGTCTGGTTTCAAGCCCTGGCCAGGGACAATGTGTTGTCTTTTTGAGCAAGACACTTAACTCTCATGGCACCTCTCTCCACCCAGGGTACAATGCAAATGGGTACCAACAAATTTAATGCTGGGGGTAACCTTGTGATGGATTAGCATCCCATCCAAGGGGTAGAAATATTCCTAGTCATTTCATGCTACAGAGATAACACAAACCGAGATAAACTCTGGCCTGATGGGTCACTTGGCTCATATGCAGACTTAATCTTATGCCCTTTATAAAATTACCGTAATATTAGTTAGAATTCTGATTCTTTTTTTTTCTAGGTGTTCAGATCAAAAGATTATCAGCCATTGTTATGGGTCTTCCAACAACTTTTTAAGAAGGTTCATTCTACAAAGCCCCAGGCCTCAAGATCAGAGTCAGCTGAGATTTTTGTTGTATGTCAGGTGTGTGATCGAAGCAACATGCAGTTAAAGAGCGTACATAGACTTAAAATCTTCTGGGCAGCATTTCTTCTTCATTAGCATAAACGCAAGCAGTCTTAATGAGCAAAATTCCCGTGGGATGGGAGAGGAGAAGGCTTAGCCTCCCCTCTAAGAAGAGTACCAGTAACTTACTCCTCATTGTTGTTATTTAGTAGGATAAGTCCAGTTCTGGTCTTGGTCACACAATGCTAAGAGAGTGTAGTGTTGTTTGTGGAACAGAAAGATGGCCAGAAGTAAGCTTTTAAGCAATAAGCACTAGAGGTACATGTATATACTAGCTGTACACTCATGAATGACAGGCCTAACTTGCATTTGTTTTGTTTTCTCTCCCAAGGGTTACGTAGCGCCAGCTAAGATTGACCCCAAACTTCTGGACCCAAGACACATCTTTAAAGAAGTTGAGCCTGAAGAGAAGAAGAAAATAAGTATTCTTCAAGTAGAGGTATAAAGAGAAAGACGCAGTAATGTAAAACTGTCAAACAGTGAAGTTAAACTGCTCACGCTTCCGTCTGTTCATCTGTGTGTCGTTCTGTGTAATATGTAACTGTCTGACTGTCCTTTTAGTGCTCCAGCCATCAGTCTGTGCTTGTTTTGCAGTGTGCACTCTGCTAGCTTGATGTTATTATTTAATGCTCAAGTGAGAAAGAGAATTTAACATGGAAGCATTTTAAACAAAGCTTGAGTGCCCAATATATGTGTCTCTCTGCCACATCATGTAAATCAGAGTTTGCAATGATCTAAAGCAATTGCTTTAGAGAGAAAGATTGATATTGAAAAATTCAGGGGTGGATCCAGGAGTTTTCTATGGACAGGGTGCACCACTTAAGGAGTGGTGTAGCTGACTGGTGAGGTAAACAAATTTTAAAAGCAAATACGAAGAAGGCTTCATCTCGGGGGGGGGGGGGTTGCACCCCCTGCACCCTCTCTCTAGATCTGTCCCTGAATTAATAAATTCATTTGACAAACCCCTCCCTCAGAGGGGATTTTGTTTAAACCCCCCCCCCTAAAAAAATGACTCTAGAAATTCCAGTGTGGCTCATATTTTCCTGTAGAAATTTTGGCTTTTAAGTCCCGCTCCCCCTGGGAATTTCTAGTAACCCTCCTTTGGGTAGGTAGGAATATTTTTTGGAACCATAAATTATCATAGACCACATACCAGACATATTAAGTAGGTTCTTGACTATGCATTATGTTTACTTGTGTGTTTTGTTTGTTTATCAGAAACAGAAAAAGCGTGCTGAAGGATATGAAGAAGGCAACTACACTCTGTTTCGATCAGCCAAAGTGTCTGACTTTCTGCAAACAGAACATCCTCTAGATATCTTAAGTGTGGTGAATGAGGTTTGTTTGATGTTTAATGTTGCCTTAGCCTAATGCCGAGAAAAAACATTGTGAAATGATTACAAACAGGAATTAATTACAGTTATTACTATTATATTTATAATAAGGGTTACCGGTACTCTTAGTTTTCTCTCTCTCTGGTGGAAGGAGCTGTTCTGACACTTAAGATATAGAATAAACAAGGCAAGGTTGATGTTAGTAACTGTGTATATGTAAACATTTCATACAAAAAATACATTGTAGAGTTACAAAAATTAAATTGGAATCATGTTGTACCTGTAGGTTGCCAAAGATGGTCTTTTAGAATATTTTAATTAGAACTATTTCTTTGTCTTTTCTTAATACAGATTGTTTTTGATGATGAAAAATATGGAAAACATGTCCTGACCACAGAGGAGATTAAAGAAGCCTGCAAAGATGTTAAAGTTCTGGGAAAGTCAGACATAAAGTAAGGTTTACAAAACAACATTAGAATCATACAAAGTGTGTGGTTTGCATTGAATTTGTCGGGTTGCCATGGATCAGCAAATGATCAGGGAAAAAAAGACTTCTTCAAGGTCAGGGAAAAGTCAGGGAATTTTATTTTGAGTCAGGAAAACTTGATATTTTGAAGAAAAGTCTGGGAAAATTTAATACCATTGAAGGCTGGAAGAAACATTTTGGGACACTGTGATCTCAACAATATTTTGTGATCTCAACAATATCATGGGAGTTTGGAAAATAACATGTACTGAAATTTTGGAAACTACGAGTCTTGTACTTACATTAGTGTGTGTTTACCCTCTCAACACACACATAACTCTTCTCCTAAATACCATGTATATAATTTGAGAAGAGTAAGGCAAAAAAAAGTTGCTTTTAATCATCTTCTTTTTTGTTGTTAATAATGCAAGGTGTATAACGTCATGTGTTTCACCTGTGTGTCCTCAATCACTGACCCTTCATATTAATCCTTTTGATTCAAAAAGGCCCTCAAAGAGAGCTACATGTGTGTACAGTAGTTTACCTTTTGTTATCATTTTAAAATGCAGGAGTCTTTTGAGCTGGCACAAGGCATTAAGGAAAGAGTTCTATGGAGAAAAACCTAAAAGCTCAAGGTTTGTAAGCTGTAAACAACTTATATGATACTTGAATGGTAACTATAATGCTCACCAAAATACCTTATGTGGAATAAAGGAGACCTAATTTGATTTGGCCTGTCCCCCTACCTACAGCCCCCCATTTTGGTTGGCCAAAATGATGAAGTGTCTTAAGACCTATGACACGCTAAACCTTTGCACCCCTCTGCGTCACATACGCCTGAGGTGTACTGGTATTTGTCTTTGTCTAACAATTATGATAAGAAGTATTAATACTTTTTCCATTGATCAAAATTTAAGTAAGAAAATGAACAAAAATAAGGCAACATGATGTTTCGATGACATCTTATCGTCATTGTCAAATGAATTAAAATTAACAATAACGGCAAGGCATATTTATAGAAATTAGGATGTGAGGAAACAAATAATTAGCAAAGATGACATGAAAGCATTCAGGTAAAAAGTTTCGTGCGAATGGTATTTGTGTGTTCAGTTTCGGTCTGCTGTTCTTACCTAATCCAAAGCATTTCAAAGATCAAACATTCGAGTTTGCCACAGCATTTCTCTATGACTTTAAAGTTCTCAATTAAGTCACTGGGTGTTAAGCCATGCTTGTCCCTGAAATGTTTTCTTATCACAGAATGCTTATGTTCTTCTACATGTACGCACTGATGGAGGTGGCAGCAAGTGAACCCAAGCAAATTTGTATGGCACAAATCACATGTGAATTCATATACTACACTCATGGGAGGCTTTTCTTCTGTGACTCTTGGATGATCAAAATTCCCAAGAGTATTTACTCTCAAAATGAGCTGATTCTAATGCCACATGGTGATTTGACTAGTGAGTTATGGATGATCTAGTGACTTACTTTATAAAATTAGATTGCATGACCCTGCTGACCATTTTACTTTACGCTTTGTTCCCTGACAGGAACCAAGAGGATGAACAGAACACTTTAACAGAGACTGAAGAGGTCAGCTGATTACTAGGACTATAACATTAACTTAACATTTCGATTATTCACAATTATGACCATTCAATTCAATTCACAAATCTTTGACATCAGATTTGAATTTTTGGTTTGATTAAAAAATAGCCTTCACTAGATCTAGACCATATTTTCCCAACTTGATATAAAAGATGCTTTGTCTCCAGACTTTCAGCAGTTGATTAATAAATTGAGTTACCTATTGTGTTTTGATGGAGGAGCCAAAAGTTATTTTACCTATGCCATTTTATTGATGCCTTGTGACATAGAACTTCCCTTCTACCCCTGCCCCTGAAGATATCCAATTACCACAAAGCACATACTCAAATCATGTTCAGTAGGTGTTGTTCTTGTTTCTCACACCAGCAGAAATTCTACTAGTATACTAATGCAAATGCTGTAATCTGATTGGCTGAGCCATTGCACACTATCAGCCATTAGTGTACAGTGGCTGGAGGTCGTCTACGAAATAGTGACATTTTTTTTCGTTTTTCCAAAGTTTTGGAGCAAAAGTTTGATGCAAATGGATAATNACTCTTTACCCTGTGTTCTTCGCTATTCGCTCTTCTCTCTTGATTTGTTGTATTTGTTTATTACAGAAAAGAATTCAGAAGCAAATGCGACTTATCAGCAACAGGGAATTAAGCGAGGAGGGGAGAAAACAAATAAACAAGATAAAAAGGCTCGTTGGAATGACGATGAAGAGGAAATTGGCGGTGAAGGAAGCGATAGCGCCGACAGTGAGGAAGAAATTACACCAAACAAAACGAAACAACAGAACATTGATGAGAAAAAAGGCAGTTCCAAAGAAAATGAATTCGAGGTTGTCCCAGTGGAAGATAATAGTAAGTTTAACGGACCTTTCCGTCTTTGCTTTTTTTTTCACGGCTAGGCCAATGATACTGATTAATATCGTTTTCTAGAAACCTGTCTCACATTTACCTATCTACATCTACATTTTTAAGTCGGCAAAAAAACTATCTTAAGTTATCACGCCAACTGTAAAACTTGAAAATAAATCATAGATAATAATAATGAAATAATTACAGAAATACTCCGAAAATTAATAAGAATTAAATGTGTAAACTGATAAAACAGCAGGGTAATACATTCTAAGAACAGGTTGAGGTGAACCTGACGTGAAAATTCTTGTTTTTCTTGACAGGCGAATATTTGAGGAAGCTTACTCCTGAAACTCTAGCACTGGGACACAAGATGGCTTTTTCACGAAAAAATAAACGGGACTTAATTGATGCTGGATATCATAGGTGAATCGCGAACACGAATTCCGTATTTATTCGGAAGATCGGTTAAACTTAACGATCGTTACGAAGACGACCCGAATATGTCCGAATATCTTGAAAAGGGTTACTATAGTTCATAGGAAATCATTTAGTCTTCTAGTTGTTCCTGTTTTCTTAGTATTCTGCAAGGCTTTATTTTTCAAACGGTGGAAAACCCGGGGGGGCGGGGGGACTCCCATATGAAAAGGACCGGGATGCTCGTCGGAAATCTTGAAAAAAAAAAAAACCTCAGAATTACCAAGATCCTGTTTTGTGGGAGTGGCTTGAAATTTTTTCCACAGCTTAGAGGTACCAATTCTAAGACAACACATTATCTCCTGTCATATCTTTTGGGCTCGATACCCTTAAAGGTACTGCAAAAGATCCCATTGTGGACCTTTTGAAGCTAAGCACTCTAAGAGGTACCAAAACCGACTTTTTAACACCTAAAAAGGTACGACGAACACCTCCGTTGTTTTTATATGGAGCCTCCCACCCCCCCCCCCCCCCCCCCCCCCCCCC